CACACTTCTCATCCCAATCTGGTATCAAGTGTGCTGGGTGCACCTAATTAATCCCCTCCCCATGTGCATGTACTGCCTTTACTGGATCACTGTGTTTTGAAACTCCACAATTTCAAAGTGAGTATTGCAACACTTTGGCGTTTGACACCCTGGAACAAGATGCGAAGGTACAATATTGCAAAGGTTGCTGACGGTAACACACTTTAATGCCCTTAAAATACATTTTTCAATGGGTATATTTATTGCATGAAAAGCTTCTTTTAAACACTGGATTCAGTTCTAGAAATAAATTCAGCTCTCACATAAATCTGGACAAGTAAATAAATGTGTAAGTAGTCGTATCCAAAGTGAAAACTCTAATTCATGCTGGAATAAGATCCACTCTGGCACAAATATTAGGGAATTAGTTATAATATCCATGACATTAAGTTAAATTAGCCAGAGATGGAATAACACCCATGGGAACCATCAAAATCCTGTATAGCAGGCTATTACATTATGAGCTACAGATCAGAAATGGGGGGAAGGAACCAGGGCATTTTAATCTATTATAAAAATAGCTCTTGGCAGAACCATTTACATTTACTATGGACGTAGAATCATAGAGTTGGAAGGGACCACAAGAGTCATCAAGTCCAACCCCCTGCAATGCATGAATCTCAACTAAAGCTTCCATGACAGACAGCCATCCAACCTTGGCTTAAAAACATCCATGGAAGAAAAGTCCACCCCCTCCTGATGGAGACTGTTCCACTGTTGAACAGCTCTTACAGTCAGAAAGTTCTTCCTGATGTTGAGTCAGAATCTCCTTTCATTTAACTTGATTCCATTGGTTTGAGTCCTACCCTCCAAAGCAGGAGAAAACAGCCTGCTCCATCCTACACGTGGCAGATGTTTGAAGATGGCTATCATGTCTCCTCTCAGTCTCTTTTTTTCTAAGCTAAACATACCCAGCTCCTTCAACTGTTCTCCATAAGACTTGGTTTCCAGACTTGATAATCTTGGTTGTCCTCCTGTGCACACGTTCCAGCTTGTCAAAATGTTTCTGGTGTTGCATGCGAGAGGAAGAACATATAGCCACCCCATATCCCACAATGTAACTTTGGCACCCAGCCATTTCTGCTGGAGGTGTCTGTCCTTCACTGTATGTTCATGGATAAAGTAATTCTCTCTGCAGTGAACATGTGGGTGGATAAGCAACGGAGGTTGCACGGAGAGGAAAGCAGAAACAACGTGGTGCCAAGATGGCATGGGAAAGGTAACACATAAGGAACATGCAAACAACCCCCAACCCCGCTGACCTTCTGTGTCCTGACTCCACATCAGATCTTTTCACATTGAGGAGGAAGCTCTGGAGGATGAATCCACTTGGATTCATCATACTTGGATTCATCCACTTGGATTCATAAGGGCCCAGGTGATAAGGCTGAGTTCCAAATTGTAGGAGGTTCAACTGAATGTGCACAGTTTTCTAATTAATTAATTATTGAATTGGTTTACCATCCATATAATTAAGTTGCCTGGGCAGTTTACAGGCCATTAAAAATTGAAAATGCAATGCACAGTTCAAATGATAAGAAGAAGTACAACCAATTATAAATTCAATTAGAAAACAAGCTTTCGGTTTAACTTGTTGTGTTCAGGGCTTTCCATGTTCACTCCAGTTCCAAAATGCTGGAAAATACAGCTCTTATTGTCCATGACCTTAACATATGTGTCACTTAGATCCTGTGGAAAGGGTATTGTATTGTCTGTTCATTGGTAGACACATGGTGACTATGCAACTGAGGAGTAGATACTAGGGCAGTGGGGTAGATTTCAATGCCTAACCCTGCCCCGTCCCAATGTTTAGGCACCATGCTTTCAGAAAACACCTGTATATTGTGTATATATGTACCTGTATATATGCATAAACACCTTTATTCAGAGCTTGAATGAATGTGGCTCCACACTGTTTGTACTGGCTCAGGTATCCAACATACTCAGCGATGAATCTCAAAATACTCATCAAGTCAGAACAAGATCAAAATTCACCCTCATTACAATGGGGTGCAGCTTTTGCATTTCCATCATCCAGGACCAGAGTTCTCCCCACTGTCCTTTGCGATTAATTTGATTACAGCTGGGGTTCTAATCAAACAACAAATAGATACAGTATCTTACTATAGTAACCCTTGGGATGCTGCATACTTTGGGATAGCAAGATGTGTTATTTTAATCACATTCAACTATCATCCCCCATGTGGTTGCAGCAGAGATCATTTCCATCTGGAGAATTTTAGCATGTGTGCATCAGACCATAGCAACAGCAGAACTCAATAAAGGGGGAGATTGATGTGGGAGGGGCCAATCCATGCTGTTATGGTGTGCATGAGATTTTCCTTTAACAAAGACGAAAACTTCCTTCTTTATAAAACATAGTAGCATTAGTTTCATTTTCTCCCTCCTCTACCCCCTAGCACCACTACAAATTTGTGTCCTCCTGACAGAACACAAATGAGTCTCTAATTGCCAATCCTGGAGGATAAAAGTACAAGATTATTTGCACCACACTTACCTCTCTCACCTCATTACCTCCCATTTCTTTACTCCTCTTTCTTCCTTGGCTTTAGCAAATGCAATTGTTATTCTTCGCTGTGGCATAGGGTCCACTGTTTTTACTATAACACGATGCCTTCAAATTATTTATGAAACTGCACGCCGGGGAGTAAAATGACACATTGCCTGCAAGCATTGCTCTCTGTATATGTAAAATGGGTGGATGTGCAGGATGTTGAGGCTGAAAGCAGACTCGGCATATGGGATGGACCCCTGAGGTTTGCAATATAATAATATTTTTCAACGCCCCCCTCCCCTATCTTCAACTGAGGCTTCAGAATGCAGATGAGTACATGCACAAACAATGTCAGGAGATAGTGAATCACCTTAGGGGTGATTTTGGGGGGGCAAGGTGGGGACGAGAGAGGAAAATGGCACAGGGAAAACCTCCTTTTCTATACAAATTGTGATCCTAACCTAAGTCAGAGTGACTCACAACTGCTTTACTATTTCCTGTCAGAGGCAGTCTGCTTCTTCTTCTTCTTTTATTGGGTTTTACAAACAAGAGTGTTGTTGTTGTTTAGTCATTTAGTCGTGTCCGACTCTTCGTGACCCCATGGACCAGAGCACACCAGGCACTCCTGTCTTCCACTGCCTCCCGCAGTTTGGTCAAACTCATGCTGGTAGCTTCGAGAACACTGTCCAACCATCTCGTCATCTGTTGTCCCCTTCTCCTTGTGCCCTCCATCTTTCCCAACCTCAGGGTCTTTTCCAGGGAGTCTTCTCTTCTCATGAGGTGGCCAAAGTATTGGAGCCTCAGCTTCACGATCTGTCCTTCCAGTGAGTACTCGGGGCTGATTTCCTTCAGAATGGATGGGTGTGATCTTCTTGCAGTCCATGGAACTCTCAAGAGTCTCCTCCAGCACCATAATTCAAAAGCATCAATTATTTGGCAATCAGCCTTCTTTATGGTCCAGCTCTCACTTCCATACATCACTACTGGGAAAACCATAGCTTTAACTATATGGGCCTTTGTTGGCAATAACAAGAATAATGTTATACAGATAAGAATACCAAGTTCTCTCATGTCATTTGTATATCACAAAAACAGCACAACCAATGTAGAAAAATGTCTATTTCTGGAGGGGCAGATGATGGCCACACCTCCCCCCTGCACATTTCTATAAACCAATGCCTAACCCCAAACCTTACAAAGTTGTGACTATTGCTAAGGCGTAGGCGAAAACCAAGTGGCTAAGCCAATCAGAAAAAAATCCTACCCAGCCTCTGCTCCAAAGCAGGTGACCCAATCCAAAGCAAGGCCAAAGCAGCAGCACCTAAAATAGGTTTGGCAGCGTGAAGCAAGTTCCCCACCCCCGTTGCGCTGCCACATTTATAGGTCCCTGGGATCACGCCACTCGCCCCATTTGGCCCAAACAGCCAAGTGCGATCCCGGGTCCCAACAGACAAGGCTTGGGCCATGCCTAACAACAACACACCCCATGGGCTTAAGGTTCCCAAGTGCAATCAAGACCCTCAATTTAGGAGGATCACAACCAACAATGCCCTCAGACATTGAAAGCAAAAAGAAAGAATCAAAGAAAGAAAGAAGCAAACAAGGAACTACCATTGCTAAATATTTATATGTAACTTTATTGATAAGAAATCTATCTTGTTCCACAAAAAACCCACCAAAGATGCATCCAATTTATGACTTAGTTAGGTTACCATATTTGGAGTTTTTCTTTTATCACCTTGACACATGCCCAAACTGTGATCTTCTATGCAATCCACACACACACTTTTTGATATTTTTCCACTGGCACATTCAATTGGTCTTTAGCCTCGTGGAGGAATACCCAGATGGCCACCTCATCACTTCAGCATTTGGCCATGCTCACCAAAGAAAAATGGAAAATTAACCCAGAAAGTTGTTGCGTTTTGCTGTCAGGTCCTTATCTGGATATGTACTTTGCATTTCCAATCTCTTTCTTGTTCACCCAAGTAAAACAGCTATTTTGCTGCACGCAACTCTTTAAATAAGTTAACAACTTGGATTGTATTCCATTGTGGAACTTGGAACATGATCACGGAGGAAAACAAATAGAATGAAGTGCTCAGGAAATAGAAACCATCAACAACAGTGGGACTCAAACTCATGACTTCCTTTATCATCTCATCTCAGGAGACACTGTTGCCAAAGACTACAAGAACATTTGATGACCTCAGGCTGTACTTTTGCATCTTCCTAATACATGCTTTTGGAGCACTATAAATATTAGTTGCTCCAGAGAGATATAGTAGACTTTGGCATGGGTTATGTGTCACATTATATTTGGTAATACATAAGCTAACTTGATGTTATCCGGGTACAAATGCCGAGAATGTCATACTTGTGGCTGCTGCCCAATGCATGCATCCCTGATGGAGAGGGAGAAAGTCTAGTCATATTGTTCTCCATGGCTGTGTTTCAGTGGTAGTACGTCTGATTTACAAGCAGAAAGTCCCAGGTTCAAATCCTAGGCACCTGCATGCAGTGCTGGAGGGAGACTCCTACCTGAAATCTCAGAGAAACACTTCCAGTCAGTGTAGGCAAGACTCTTTAAGGATGTTGATGCTGTGAACCCCTCCATCGTAGGCTCGGGTTGTAATTCTGTGCAACTAAACCATATATCATAAAGATGTGGGATGTAAACACAGGAGCAGTCAATGACAACATTCCTAGAGTGTACATGTTAGAACATGGGGAGGGATGTCTGTCCAGCAAGCAGGTAAACTTCCTGGGGACGGACTTCCTCCGCATGTGACCAGAGGTGGGTGTGGCCTCACCTGTGCAGGTAATGACAAAAGCACAGGGCAGGCAGCCATCTCTCTCTCTCTGCCATTTTCCTTCGATGAGGAAGCATCTAAAGATGCTCTCTTGGCTCTCAGCCAAGAGAGGAGGAAAGGACTATCTTGCTATAAGATAGATTCTGAATGTATGTAACCTTTTTAAGCTGTCTGCCTTCTGGGATCATATTGTGAACAGAACGTGAGTAAACTCTTTTACACTTTTATAAAGACTGTGTCGTGTCTTGTATTTTAAGAGGGAACAAAAGGGGAAATTACCAGAGTAATTATTATAGAGGTTCTAGCGAACCTGTGCAAGCGTTACCGTTGCGAACTTAAAGGGGAATGTCTATAAACTCTGCTGATATTTTGGGAACTTGTTAGCACAAGTTGGATAAGGATATAATCCCACAATATATCCTCTCCTGCACCCCAGAACATTCCCACAAAAGACACCACAGTCTCAGCTGTGCCTCATTTCCAAAAGGAAACACAAACCCCGGGTGAGTGCCTGGAACCCTTGGAATCTCGCATGGCTTGGAGACAGGGGTGGCATGCAACACTACATTTTATACACTTGTTGTTGTTGTTGAACTGCCTTGTGAAATTCAATATGTGTGAATTTCAAAGGATGTCTGCTTTTCTGCTTGCATATTGTTTTGAGAAGAATTAGGTTTGCATTAAAATATGAAGTGAACCAAATGTCTGCCCCATCCGTATCTTAGAGTACTATAAGATGAGTACAGCAGAATAGAAAAATGGCCCGGGGGGGGGGGAGGGGGAGGGGAATAACCTGGCTGCTGCTTAGCTGAGTTTGTTGTCATTCAGGTAGACACTTTCTTCCTCACAAATCACATCTGGAAGTGATGTCAGTTAGGGATTCCACAAACCTGTCAATAACCATGAAACTCTGCATGCACAAGGTAATTGAAGAGCCCACAAGTATGTGTTTTATAGGAATCAGTTAAATGAATTACACTCAGGGAAGTGCCAATCAAGTGTCTCTTGAAAAGTCCCTGTTTCCTCCATCCTCTCCAACTCATTAAAGTTTATTACCAAGGCAATTCTAGCTATGAAGTGTCTGCTGCTCAGAGATCTTTTAGAGTCTTCAGCAATCATCTGCCAAAATTGTCATTTCATAGACTGCCTTTGCACTCCACTGTCGATAGTAGTGCTGTGCTGAAAAACATACTGCATTTTTTCCTCTTACATTGTCCATCTATTAATGAGTAAAGAAACAGCATTTGCAAATAATCAAAGGGGAAATAATTTTTGCTCATATTCTCATGGGTGGAGTGTGGGGTTTGTTTTTTGTTTTGCACTTACACCTTGATTTGAGGTGTGCTGGAGTGTCCTCATGAGTGTTTTTCCTTCCATATCCTCCATCAAGGAAAGCAAGAAGAACTATCAGATTCCAGGATACACCCCATCCAGGATATAAATAGTCAAGGATGGTACAAACTAGGGTAGTGAGTAGTGTGGCCTGGGGGAAGAGTCCCAGAATTTGGTCCATAGGTCTAACTTTCTCCAACCCTGTAGTAAACTAAGATAGGAGGAAAGAAAGGTAAAGGTAAAGGTACCCCTGACCATTAGGTCCAGTCGTGACCGACTCCGGGGTTGCGGCGCTCATCTCGCTTTATTGGCCGAGGGAGCCGGCGTTTGTCCGCAGACAGCTTCCGGGTCATGTGGCCAGCATGACTAAGCTGCTTCTGGCGAACCAGAGCAGCGCACGGAAAAGGTGTTTACCTTTCCGCAGGAGCGGTACCTATTTATCTACTTGCACTTTGACGTGCTTTCGAACTGCTAGGGTGGCAGGAGCAGGGACCAAGCAACGGGAGCTCACCCAGTCACGGGGATTCGAACCACCGACCTTTTGATTGGAAAGCCCTAGGCTCTGTGGTTTAACCCACAGCACCACCCGCATCCCTTAGGAGGAAAGAAGGCTGCTCTAAAACATTGCCGACATCCGATTTACTGTATGGGGAGCATCAAATTGGGAAGAAAATGGGACTGGTATTTTGCTACCCATGATATTGTGTGAACCTTGCAAAAACTTGCATGAGCCCATCCGGAAGCACTCAAAGACATTAGCAAATGGGACCCTACGAAAACACAGTTAGTATCTGTCTGGGGACACTACAGAAGCCTGAGTGAGGGAAACAAACAATGTGGGAAAGTATCCTCTTTATAAAGAGATAAAGTGAGCTGCTACGTGCAGAACGTTCTTTGCCATGATAAGATTGCCAGATGTGACTTGAAGGAGGACACGGCTTGGAGTGATTCATGGCTCAGGTAGGCGGAGCTGTGCTTCAGATGCTGCATAAGATATGAATGATCAAATGGATTATATCAGACGGATCTTCCTGCAATATTTTTCCACATGCAAAGAAAAATGGCCCTTTTCACTTTAGATTACTTTCTCAGTAGTTATGAACAAAGGAATTCCCTCTTCTCTCAAAGGCACTATGTCTTGGAAACGTTGCCTCTCTGCAGTGGCATTCCCTTTTGAGTCTACCATTTCTTTACTGGCAGCTGGCCTATTTGTCTTTATGTTGAATCTGTTTTCATTTAAACATTGTTTAACAGATACTGATCTAGCTGGCCGTCTCTCTCATCTGTGCACCCATCCAACTGACATTAGGATCAACATCCTTGCATTCAGATATGGCTTCCTAAAGAATGGTGCATTGTACCAAAGGACTCACAAGCACTCTAAACCACTTATTGTCCAGCTGCCTGACCCCCTCACTGGAATGATGTCATGAGGCATAACTGGAATGCCCTCAAGTTTACTTTACTTAACCATGCAGTGCAGAAAGAGTAACCAATAGGAACATCTGAAGATTTTTGAGACAGCACTCATCTTGGCTAAACCATTCTAGGTCAAAGGACAGTCCGCCAAAACAGATCCATGCTTTTCTTCACCTGCATGCCGTAAATTCAGACTAAGGGACCCAAAGTCTCTCCAGCATTTTCTTAGTGATCAGTATTTGATGAACTGGAGTGTGCATTTCCTATCCTTACCATAGCCATTCTAGCAAGACAGCAATGAGAAGTAGCTTGAGGTAGGGTTCTTTCAGCCTCCAGCAGCTCAGTTGCTCCACCGAGGGCCTATATCACCTGCACCTACACAACCAGTGAATTGCAAGCCAAACAGACAGATCAGAAGAACCCCATTAGCCACAAAAGCGTGGGGGAGGTGAAAAAAGTAGGCCCAGTAGACAATCAAGACCAACTCCAAAAATCCTACTCCCCCATAAACAGCAGCCAAGCGATGCTCACCTTATCTGAAAGGGGTGGGTGAGCGAGAATATTTGTCCAATATCTGATGAAGGGGCATTTTGATTTGATTTGAATTTATTATATTTCTATGTCACTTTTCATTTGAATGAATCCCAAAGCAGCTTAAAAACAATAAATGACAATAACATGATAGAGCATCACAAATACAGCATAAATCATATAGAATGACTAACAAATCATCAGTAAAACAATAGCAATCTATAGAACACTGTTAACAAAGCAACAACTAATAAAAATAAGCTAAACACCACATTTAAAGCAAAGATTATATTATACGGTTAACAAATCAATAAAGCCTTTACAGTCAAACTTCGGTTCCTGAACGGCTCCGTTTTCGAACGTTTCAGCTCCCAAACGCCAAGATCTTGGAAGTAAATGCTCCAGTTTTCAAATGTTTTTTGGAAGCCGAACATCCGACGCAGCTTCCACTTGAGTGCAGGAAGCTCCTGAAACTAACCGGAAGCTGCGCCTTGGTTGTCGAACATTTCAGCTTCTGGAACGGATTGTGTTCGACAACTGAGGTTTGACTGTATGATCTGTAGAACAATATTAACTGCATGAACAAACTAGCAACCAAAAGATAGACTAAGCACTGTTAAGTACATATACACATACTCCCCACACCTCCATGACTCATAATTTTTCACTCCTTCCACACATGGCTTCTACTTCCTGGATCAGAGTCTGTACATACAAAGGTGTAACAATAGGTAGTACCCCACCTGCACTTAATAATAGGAGCTATGTACATACTGATCCCTGCACCCATCCTCACAGGTGGTAGTTCGCTTGGCTAACTTTCCCTTCACCAATCATTTCTTTGGCACCTCTCTAGCATGTGATTCTTGTTGTCCAATCTGAACCTGCTTGCCATTCCTTTGTGGGCACATGCAGCCCACTTCTCAGCACAAGTTTCTGTAGACTGGAGCCATTCGCTATAACCAGTTACTCCATGAGCCCCGAAAAGTTGCATTTGTCACAAAAATTATTGGGCGTAAATGATTTGCTCAGTTCTGGTTATTAAACCAATCCTTTTTACGCTACATGCCCTTTAATATGAACAACATTTCCATTTTCCCCTGCTCAGTTTCTCCAAAAGTCTTTTAGTAATAATAATAAATGATTCTGTTCTGCTAATTAATTTCAGATGCCTATATAGCCTCAATTCTTAAAATCCATTTGCAAAGAAACATGGTTTGGAATCAATATCAGTCATCAAATTGTTGATTCACCCCCCACCCACCCAAGGTAAAATAAAAACCTTGAAGAAATTCAATCTTGTGTCTACGCAGATTTATACTCATTGCCGTATAAAATGAACTTTTTAAAAAATGAAAATTAATCAGGAAACTCTACAGTGTGCCTTGGATAAAATTATTTTACAATTATTTCTCAAAAGG